AAAAAAAAAAAAAAAAAAAAAAAAAGGGGGGGGGGGGGAGAAATGGTGAAAAGTGAAAAAGGCGAATGTGAAGGTTACAAAAAATACAACAACATATGCTGGTGCTACAATTGTTTACTAGCAAAAATGTTATTACATTTTTTTTTGTGGAGTACAACGAAAACAAAAACATAAGAGTGTGAATTTTTTTTTTTTTTTTTTTTTTTCCTTGTGGGTGGAAAAACGTATGTACAATATACATTCACATACGTACGCAACATACGTGCATGTGTTAATTAAGGATGAAGGGTGAAGAAAACAAATAGAAAAAAAAAAAAAAATGAAAAGGGATGCAAAATGAAATGATGTTTGTTTACGTGTACGTGTGCTGAATTGGACTTGGGCGAATATACATGGAAGGTACGCATGGCGGCGTTGTTCGCAGTAACACGCAAGCGCACTCCTGCCGTTCTGACACATGCACAAATACAAACGCGCGGCCCACGCGCGGGAATTACAAAATTTGCACCGGCCAAAATGTTCACTCAGTTTCGGCGGGAAAATATATATAGCTCCAACTTCCAATCTTATTAATTACAACGGGAGATAATTGAAAAAGGACCAACGGTCGGAAAAATACGCGCGCAACTCGTGCTGTTCACATGATGTTCTTTGTCTTTGTTTGTGTCTTGAGGAGTGTCCACATGGATAATTTCATGTAAAGGGTTTACATTGTGTTAAGGGCAACCCTTCAATTTTTTCCTTTATTTTATTATTCTATTTTTTACGGTGTTGGGTGGGAGGGTTAAAATGGGTCCACCCCTGTGTCTCACTTGTGCAAGACTCTTCCTCATTCGCAGGGCTTCCGCTAGAACCACACGCAGGGAAAAAAAAAAGAAAAAAAACTCAATTTTTGAGTACATTTTTTTCATGGGTGAGGTCCTTTATCTTCTCCCAGGTGAAGGAACTATCACTTCTTCCAAAGTGGCCATAGGCAGAGGTATTGGAAAAAATGGGTTGCTTCAATTTTAACTCTTCTATGATGAATCCAGGTCTCAAATCAAAATTGCGCAAAATAATTTGTTCTAAATCATAATCAGTGTATCCTGTGCTGACTGTTCCATACGAATTGACATTCAACGAAATAGGGTTAGCAATTCCAATGGAGTAGGATGCCTGTACTAGGACCCTCCTACAAAATTTATTTGCAACCAAAGACTTTGCAATGTAACGTAAATAATACGCAGCTGAGCGATCTACTTTAGATGGGTCCTTTCCAGAGAAGGCACCTCCTCCATGAGCACCCCAACCTCCATAAGTATCACAAATAATTTTCCTTCCTGTTAACCCTGCATCTGCTGCAGGTCCTCCAAGTACGAATTTGCCTGAAGGGTTCAAATAGTACAGAGTCTCCTCATCAAGCAGCTTCTCAGGGATAACATACTTCACTACATTTTCTATCAAATCAGATTTCAATTGTTCATATTTTACATTTTCAGCATGTTGTGTGGAAATCAAAATTGTATGTACACGTAGAGGTTCCATGTGTCCACCGAAATTTCCTTTATTTTTATATTCAATTGTTATTTGTGTCTTTCCATCTGGTCCTAAATAAGGAAGAATTCCTAGCTTCCTCACTTCTGTTAATCTTTTGCCTAATAAAGTGGCGTAGTGGTGTGTTAAGGGCATATAATTCTCCGCTTCATCAGTGGCATAGCCAAACATAATTCCCTGATCACCTGCTCCTATCAATTCTGGTTTCTTATTTTCATGCACACATTGAGCAATATCGGGGGATTGCTCATCTATATATATTTTTATGTCTGCAGTTTTGTAATCGAGTCCTTTACTTTCATCATCATATCCTATGTGCTTCAAAACGTCTCGAGCTACTTTGTCGTAATCAACTTTAGCTTTGGTTGTTATTTCTCCTAGGATAAAAATAAAGTTTTTCTTTGCGCACACTTCGCAAGCTACTTTGCTTTCTGGGTCTTCCCTCAGACAGGCGTCTAAAATGGCGTCTGAAATTTGGTCGCAGACTTTGTCCGGGTGCCCCTCGTTCACCGACTCGGACGTGAAGAGGAAGTTTCCTCGTTTTATTTTGAGGTGATTCATTGTTCTAGCGGCGTGGGGGGTGGTGGTTTGCAGGTCAACGCTGCTACGTTATTCTACGTTATGCTAGCGTACGCTTATCGCTCCTTATCAATGATGGTGTAGGGGCCGATCCAACGTGCGCGCGCACTTGCTGTTCGAACACCTGCCCAGTTACAAAATGTGGAAGGAGGGATTACGGCCACCCAGATTAACGGAGCCTTTCTCAATACAACACAAAAGGGGAGAGTAAAAAAAAAAAAACAAAAACAACAAAAGAAATGATCCACAGACCGCAAACAAATTGATCTTCAAATGTACAAATTATTGAGCGTAATATATAAGTACTCGTACGCTTAAAAAAAAAAAAAAAAGGCGAAACTTTTTTTTTTTTTTTTTTGTTCCCTATCTTGTTCAGAAGGAGAGAACTGCTTATTTGCTTGTTTCGGCTGATTCGTTTTCTCAATAAGGACTTTTCCTTATTCTGATGTGCCGTAAAAATCTGGTATTTTTTTTTTTCTCGTACGTTATAAAAATTTGTATTACGTAAGTATGGCTCCGCAAATGCATATACGCAAGGGAGTGACCTCTATGTTTTAATTGTTGGGAACATCTAGGGTTGCTTCGTTCGCTTGTTGCTTCGTTCGTTTGTTGCTTCGTTTGTATGACGATTCGTTTGTTAGCTTCTATCTTTGCTTCGCTTCGCTTGACGCTTTTTACCTTCCGGAATGCCGCACGACAATCATACGTTGCCGCTCGAAAACGGGAAAATACAAAACCGCAGGAATGACAGAGAAATATCGCTTAAAGCGTTGGAAGGAAGTGCAACGATGAAACGATAAAAAAGCGATGGAGTGATAACACGATGGAAAACAATCGCTTAATAGACTGATGGCATAAATCGAATGCAGGAACAATGGAAGAAGATGTTTTGCAAACAATACGGGAAAAAAAAAAAAATTTGGTGGATTTAATTTTTTACGCGTTTATCCATTTCGCCTCGAGTTTTGCGAACATATTTAAAAGTTTTTGTGCGCTTTTTTTATTTTTATTATTATTTATTTAATTATATATATTTTATATATATATATATATATTTTTTTTTTTTTTTTTGCCGTGAACGCGAACCGGCGTTATGCGCCACAAGAAAAAAAAAAGTGCTATGAGAAAATTTGTATTTTTTTACTTCACGCCTTCTGCATGCGCAATATGTACAAAGTGGATTTAATGTAGCACGTTTGGATGTACTTTAGTGTGTTTTTTTTTTTTTTTTTTTTGTAAGTATTTCGTTTGGTATGTTGCTCTGTTCGTTTGAATGGTCAGTCGAGTGATCATTTGAGCGGTCATCCATATGTGGGTTATTTACACCGCGGGGCTGATCTGAGTAGCCGACCCCTTGACCCAATTCGCCCTTTTGCTCTTTACGGGTGCTCTCCCCCCCAGCGGGCGAGCATGTTCTGCCGCTAACCGGCGACTGACTGGTGGTGGGAAGCCATCACACGCAGGGGCTGCAGGACAAGAGAGTGTAACAGATACCAAAGCGCGAATAGGGTCGATCATATCTACGCTCAACGCACAGACGGTGCGCCTCAGGGAATTCACGAATGGTCAGGGGGCCCTTCACATTTTCCATTACATATGCTGTGACGTCCCGGCAGCGGTACGCCAGCATACAGTTTCGAACCAAGGATACAAAATATAGGCCCGCCTTTACAAGCGCAAGTTTCAAATGGGATGCGGCTACGGCAGGAGTTGCTGCGGCGACGTCTGGCGAACCATTGTACGCTCAGCGTATATATATATATAAGTAGCATGTTGTAGTGAATAGAAGGAGCAGAAGTCGAAAGATGTGCGTGTAACCGAAATTATTAGAACCCCCATAGCTGACGTGGGGAATACCTTCCTGTATATCCCTTTGGAGTACATCTTCTCCGTAAATCCTCCTTTATTCTTCCCTGTGCACACGCGCGTGTATTCCACACGCCCCAGAGAATTTCGGCGGGCGCAAGGGGAATCGCATCTCCTCCGTGGGTGTTTCTCCGCTATGTCGCTTGGCTGAGAATCACCAGCAGGGGCAAGGAGTCAGAAGATACCTCAAGAAGGCACGGTGCACACAGAGCTGCCATAGGAGGGCGGGACGGCAACTAATTTCATCGTATTACCCCTAGTGCGCGCTCAACAGTTACGCCCCTTTTAGGGGACTTCCCATTTGTACCCCCAATTATTTATTTTCAGTTTCTCTTCACGCGCGTTAATGTGTTGAGGTTTGGGGAGGCAAATTCCATTGCCTATATTCGTGTGGCGATTTGCATCCATTATATGCGTTACGTTTCGGCCACACAGATTGGGGCTGCGCACCTACAGTTGCACACAGTACGAATTGCACCCCCGAACCCTATGCATAATATATACCCCTTTTGCTGCGTCAAAATGTAATGGGAACCTGTTCGCTCTACCTTCAACACACCAAGGGGGGAAAAAAGTGAGACCTTCACAAAATGACAAACATTGGGAAGAATGTAATCAGGTGGTCGGTCATTATGCCGTGGTTATTGTAATGCCGTTTTTATAGCTTACTTCGTTGCGCATAATTTAAAAAAAAAAAAATTTTTAGACTTTATCTTATGTTCGCTAAAGCTGTGCGCATCATTGGTCGACTTTGCAGCATGTTGTAAATCGTACGTTTCTTTAATGTTCGTGTGAAAACGGGGGGAGAAAAAAAAAAAAAAAAAAGAAAAAAAGGAAAAAGAAACAATTTAAAACTCATGTAAAAAAAAACACAATTTTGCAAAATGTAAAGGCGGGGCGAATTTATTTCCGATTTACACCAGTTGGATTTACTTATCCTTTTTGTCCATTTCGTCAAACAGTTTTTCGCACAGGGAGAGGGCTACGGGGAAGGAAAAAATTAAGACACGCAAAAAATTAATGGCCAAATGGGCAAGTGAGCAAACGATAAAATGAGTGAACGGACAAATGAACAAATAAACAACAGAACGAAACATGTAGGAACAATCACCGATTAACACATTCACGCGACATACGTTTAGTCTTTTTTTTTTTTTTCGTTCCCTCGCTTCCACCCCAGGGGAAGTTGGCTTTGGGTCAGGTTAATATTATTTCTCCATTTTTCACTTACTTGGATATTTAAATTTTTCCAACTTATAGTCTTCGTTATTTTTGATGGACTTTTTTACAAACTCGAGAACGTGCATGTCGAAGGCGTTTAGCAGGTCCTGTTCCAAAATGGTGAAAAAAAAAAAAAAAAAGAGCGTAATGTGTAAATGGTTTTAATGTGTGTACAAAAATGGTCATACAGACACAACCCCTGCGAAAAGAATATAGGGAAATTAAATGGGAAAAGCATTTATTCTGCTCTTCTTTTTTTTTTTTTTTTTTTTTTTTTTACGTCTGATAGTTCCAGGTCCACGTCCAAGTTTATGGTGCTCATGTTCCTTTTCCAGCTGCGAGATGGGGGACATGGAAAAAGTGAGTGCATGTTTGTCGTTGTGGAGAAGGGTGTGCAGGTTTGTATGTATGAGACCGTGTGTGCAAACTTACAGGAATGGCAACAAATTGCTGAAGGATATTTGATCTTTGGATGAGCCGTTTCCAATGTATGCGTTGCTTAAAGGGCGCTTGTTTCTGCAAATTTTAATCATCTGCGGGGGGTGGAATAAAATATATATATATTTCCTTAACCGCTCCACCGTTCCCTTCACGATTTTAAAAGAAAAAAGGGAAAAAAAAAAAACGCTAAACAGTTTTGCTTACCTGTCCGGAGAATATCTGAGTATTTTCCACCCACGTTTTATATCTGTTCTTCACTTCCTCGGGCATTCCTTCAAACTGTTATTGATGGGGGGGGAGAGAAATAGGACGGTGTGGAGAAATACTTCCATGAGGGGAAACACACAGATAAAGCAAACACTTAATCACTTTTGCAATTATGCTTAAACACGCATGACACGCTCATATGTTACCTTATCGCGAGGGGGTTCTCCCTGGGCATGGGCGCCTCCCCCAGCCATTTGATTCTGCACACAATTTAAAATGTTCGAAAAGTTTATGTTGGACAGCGGGGAGGTGGTGTTGTTAACGGCAGGGGTCCTCCTAATGTCCGTGACGATGGAGCTATCCTGCTTGCTGCTTGCCGTGTTCTTCATTACGCCGCCTTGTGGTGCAATTTGTTGTATCTGCTTTTCGCCCTGTGGAGTAGCAGTGTGCTTGTCTGTTGGTTTTTCTTTCTGAGGGATGCTGCTAGGATGCATATCTTTCCCCTTGTCGGCATCCTTTCCATCTGTATCTTCTCCATCTTTATCTTCTCGCTTAGGTTGATCCTTCACGTTGGAAGCCTCCTCCTTGTCCTTTCCATCATCCGACACGTCGTACATATCATCCATGTTACTATCACAGGAGGCGAAGTTACTATTGGTTGCATTGAGGGCGTCGCCTTTTGCTTCATCATCATGTTGTGCACTTTTTGGCTGACTGTCGTTACTTCCCATGTTTCCATTTTCCCTGTTCTCATTTTTGTTTTTAAATAGATTGTTGAGGATGTGGTTGAGGGGGCCACCGTGTCCTGCATTTCCTACATTTTCTGCATGTCCTACATTTTCTGCATGTCCTACATTTTCTGCATGTCCTTCATTTCCTGCATATATTGCGGTTGGGGAAGGGGGGATGAACGGGGTCATTTGGGGGGAAGAGTTAGCCAAAGGGTGACAACTAACACATGGACAAATTCGCCCCAGCGCGGGGAAAGCAACGCCGGCGAAAGTGACGTTGGGGCGCCTCATCCATTTTACCTGCTGCACTATTGCTGCTGCTCTCATTGGGGTCTCCGCTGCTGTATCCCTTGAAGGAGTGGCCATCTGTACGCACTTTTTTCCCGGCGTAGTGTTTGGCATCATCCTTGTTCTTCCTGTATCCCTCCTTCTCATCGCTCCTTTCCTTAAGACCCGGGTAGAGAAGCGAATTGTTGTTACCCTGTCCGGGGAAGTTCGAAAAGGGGTTGTTGGAGTGGCCGTTGGCGCCATTGTTCAAATGGTTAGAGGGATTATTAGAGGTACCATTCCAGTGCCCAGTTTGCCTAAATCTGCTACCCATCTTTTTGTCGCTATGTGAATTGGGATTGCATACTTTGTCTCCTTTGCCTACACGGTTGCTACTCACACCATCTTCCTTTCCCTGAGAGCATTCACCAGTGTTACTCCTCTCCTTATGGTTAGCAAATTCTTTCCTCAACAACATATTCTTATTCCCCTTAACTGTATTAAGGTAGTTTTTATAATAATCTTCAAATTCTTGCTGCAAGTTGGTTCTATTTGCATTATTCCTCAAATCATTATAAGGTAGGGGGTAGTAATTATCGGCCACGTTATGTAGGTAGGATGAGTTGTCATTGTTGAAGGCGTCCACATTTGCATGCCCGTAATTTCCATTAGGGAAAAAGTCATTTTGAAAAAACCTACTGCTTCTATTAGAATGAGCATTTCTTCCATTATTCGAATAATACAAATTTCGTAACTCCCTAAGGTATTCATGATTGATCGGATCTGAATATCTGTAGTGCCTTCCATAATTGTTGCAATAAAAATTATCGTAAAAGACAAAGAAGAAATTGGAGAGTCGTGAAAAAACTACCGACGCTAGGGATAGAATGATGCTTATCCTGGAGAAGGAAGACATGGAAATGTCGTTGTTCATAAAATTCGAATGATTAAATTGAATAATTATACTGTTAATTATATTGTTGATGTGAACAAAGAGGTAGAAGAAAACAAATATGGAGTTGCTGTTGTGGTACGAATTGATATAAGCGGATAAGTCTGGTCTGCGATATCCTGTTTCTTCTTCCAGCAGTACTAGCAGTTGTTCTATTACTCTCCATGGGATGTTTACTTCCATATTTTTGTGCTCTGAGTCGTTTGCATCATTTAAACATTTCAGATCGCTTCTCCCTAGTGCACTGTTCCTTCTGTCGCTCGACATTTGTATCGACCTTATATTATCCGATAGGGAATTGTTGTCGGACACGAGGGCACCGTCTTCTTCATTAATGGCAACTCTGGAGTTCGTTCGCATGGAGTCGTTACGCACTATCTCGTTGTTCCTTTCTATGTCGCTTAGCGGCACTAGGTTCGCGTACACGCTCCTGGGTGGATAGTTTTGCTCGTCCATCGGTCCGCCTGCAAAGAGAGGGTTACAGCGGTGGTGATCATTGTAACGGTGATACTCTCCTCCTCCACCGCTTCCACTCTTCCCACTTGGGGGGTGGGTTGTCCCCTTACCTGTGCCGTTGGCCTTCAAGTTGCTGCCTGGAAGGTCCACCAAATTATCGTGCGCGCCGCCACTCCCGAACAGAGCCTTGCTGCTGCTGTAGGCCTTCGTCCTCCTCTCCTTGTGCTTGACAAAATCATCCACCAAGTTGTGGTTGTTCGTTCCGTTCGCATTTTCGTTCGTGTCGCTCAGGTCGTCTCTGCCATACTTGAGGCTACTCCTGCTTCCTCTACAGAACGCAGCACCAACAGCTGCTCTGCCCCCGTGGTCCAGTACAAACGATGGGTACGCGCCTCCTAACCTCATGTCGTTTCTTCCTTTGAAAATCTGATTAAAGTGATTATTTATCCTGCCGTGGCTAATGCTGTTTGGGTGGTACATATAATTCTGGTGATACAAAAAATTGGGGTCGAAAAGGTATCTGTTCTTCTTCTTCATTTTCTTCTGCTTTTCCTTTTCCTTCTTTCTGTACTTTTTCTCCTTTTTGGCTAGCTCATCTTCGTCATAGTCGTACTCCTCCCCTTCATCGTCCCGTTGATCTTCCGTGGAGGAGGATACGGACGAAGAGCTACTCGAATCGTAGCTTTTCTTCTTCTTGTACTTATTTTTGAGTTTCTTTTTTTTCTTATATTTCTTCAATTTATGTACCTTTTTCCTTTCCTCCTCATCCTTCATGGTGGAGTCGACAGACAGGAGGGACGACCTTGAGCTGCTGCTACTGGAGCTGTCATCCTTACTCGAATGACTAACATGGTACTTGCCATTTTTTTTAATCTTATTTGATGTCTTCACATCCTTATTGTATTTTTTTCTCTTCTTTTTCATTTTCTTTATTTTCTTGCGTTGCTCCTTTGTGTAGTTTTCATCGTTTCCCTTCTCATTCGTACAGCTATTATCTGATGATGAATCTCCTTCGCTCTTTCCTGCGTCGTTCTGTCCACCATCATCACCTCCTTTATTACCACTTGGGCTTTGGTTCTTGCCATCTGCACCCGCTTCCGCGCACCGTTTCGCGTTCACCGTCTCGCCCTTCTTATCATTAGCCCCGTTCACGTAGTTGGGGCAGGCAAATTCGCTCGCGTTGGGATTTATGCCTGTGGTCCTCATGGCCGCGGTGAAAATGTTTTCTGCGTTGCCGCCTCCAAGCCCAGTTCCGAGGCCGCTCCCCATGGCGCCTCCCATTCCACTTCCTGCCCCTGCCCCGGCCGCTGTCGCATTTGCAGCCGCAGTGGCTGCGGCGGTGGCCGCGTCATAAATAAAGTTCGGGTTGATGTTTACCTGACTCATTATATCATTTAGCAAGGAGCATATGTTTGTCTGGCCCATCAGGTCCCCATCCATATTATCATTTCTTGTTAATCTCATGTGCGTGAAGTACAGAGGGGTGGATGAGGCTCCGACGTTAGGGTTGGCGCTACTATTAGGCATATTGGAAGCGGTGCCTCCATTTGAGGTGTTCCCACTGTTGCTATTCATATGGACATTTGAGCTGAAGTTTATATGTACGGGGTCCCCCATTACGTTTCCGTCGGTGCTCCTAAACATATTTGCATTTGCATTTGCGTTGGTGTTTGTGGCATCGCTTTTCCCATTCACAGCGTTCCCGTTGTTTGCAGCGTTCCCGTTGTTTGTGGCGTTCCCACTGCTTGTAGCGTTTCCATTTTCGTCATTAGGGTTGGAAGAGTTTTCCTTTTTCCTCACCACCAAATGAATGATATGATCATTTTGTATGTTATAATCTGCAACGCTTTTCTCGTTCGCTAGACACTGCCCTTGGTAGATCAACCGGATGTCCTGCTTGTCCACATTTTTCTTCTCTGCAATGATATTTTTTATTTCCTCTGCGCTGGTGTCTCCTTTTACGGACAGCTCGAATTCCTCATTGTCAATCGTTTTTATTTTTATTTTTATGTTTCCTTCATTCTCCATGTTGCCGCGTCAAACATGTACAAATATATGTGTGTGTCATATATTTCTGTGCATATATATTTGTTTATATATTTGTACGGGCATGTGTACGTTTGTGCGCGTCTGGCCTGCGCCGTGGTTCTGTTCCTCCAGTTCAGGGCGGACGCGTCCGGAAGTTAGGGGGAAAAAAAAAGAAAGAAAACAAAAAAAGGAGTCGTGGCGAGGCGTGTAGATCCCTCCTGATGCGAACGTCACAGCTGATGCGCGTCTCACGCGGGTTCACAAACCAAAATGATATGTATGTATTATTATATGCCCACGTGGGTGCACGGCGAAAAGAGGAATCAGTTCTCAAATCAGGGGGGCAGTTGCAGTTCCCTTAGGCGTATGAAAAAGAAAATGCTCGTTAGAAATTTCCGTATTATGTGCTACTTAAAAACGCGCGTTTTGCTAAATCACGATTAGGCATGCTCAGTTATGTTCGTAAGGTTTGCACAGTTTGGTATGCCAACCACGTGCGTATATTTATGTTCATGCATTTTTTTTGTTTCACGTCGTCCGCTAGTATACCCACCTATGCGAGAATTAGCCCTGCACGCCTTTGCAAACGAAGCGCTGTTCGCATAAGCAATAATATCCTATTCGCGCCACTAGGATGTTATACCTTTCCTTTAAGGGAAGGGAGAGGGATGTAGTATTTGTATTCGTGCCAATAGAAGGCATCCTTGCATTTTTTTTTTTTTTTTTTTT